GGGGCGTGAGGACGCTGCGGCCCGCGGGGGGTGGTCGCTGCACAGGGGCGGTGGCGGGCGGTCGCACCTGCGCTGCGGCGTCGCTGCTGGCGTGGGCTTTGATGCTGAGGTGCCTGCGGTGGGAAACTTACCGATGTATGTTCAGCTGTGGCAAGGGCGTTTTTACGCCAGCGAGCTGGGTGCGCTGTGGGGCCTTTGGCGGTAAGGCTTGTCCAAGCTGGGCCCCTGATGGTGCAGTGACGCTGCCACAGAAGAGGTCTCTTATGCCTGAGTCCCTCCGTTTTCTCTGCTGCAGGCACGGGTCCTGTAGGGTAGTACTCTGGAGGACCTGCATGGTGGGAGATGATCCTCATGCTCACAGGCTGCATTAGGTTTCCTTTCCAAGCATGCTCATCCTGCGTTTTTGCAGTAGCTTTTACATCAAAAGTAATGAGGTTCATAGGTGACTGCACGTAAACATCCTGATCTTGTCTGATTTTGATCATATCAGTAGTGCCCTGCTGTTTGCTCTCCAGCTGGAGGAACGTGTGAAAAGTAACCAACCTCAGTGTAGGCAGGAAAAGTGTGCAGTACCCCTGGACACTTAACGCTTGAATGCTGGCAGAGGCTTAATTCTCGGTGCACAGTTTCCAAATTTGCTGACCCTGTAAGTGGAGGCATGGTTGAAAGACAGAGAATAGAGCAGTTACGTACACCAGGAGGACAAACTGGGCCACGTCTGGAGAAGATGCAGAATGAGACTACTACCACCTGTAGAGAAACCTGAGAACTGCACAGCTCTTACCTGCCTTTCTTGCTTGCTTCTTACAGCTCCTGTGGCTTGCTTGCTTCTTCTAGATGTTCCTTACCTGGAAATAGAGAGTGCTGACATCTGGTGTCCAGAAGGCACAGCTGCAAAGTCACTGCAAGACAGCCTGATGTGTGATGTCTTAGCTAAGTTACAGGAGGTCATGAAGGGGTTGCTAAATGCCCAGGTGTGACAGAAGAGGCATGATTCATTGCAGCCTCAATAGCTGGGGAAAAATAAACGTAAGAAAAAGCTGAGGAGCAAGCAGATGTCACCACTCACAGCTTCTGGAGAAGTGTACAGACTTGCAGGAGTTCAAGATTCTTCCTTATGTAATTTTGGCTCGGTTTGCTTTACAGAAATTTGTTTTTGTGGCATTATGCTTAGGCATATCTCTAAAACAGTCAGTGTATTAGTGCTCTCTTTATAGCAAAACTAACAAGTATTATTAATTTTAAGCAGAGTTGCCTTCAGGAGCTTTGTCTTGTGTGGTGGTTTAGGCCCTGCCGGGACCTGAGACCACACTGCTGTTTTCCCTCCCCCACCCTCGGACCGGATGGGGCAGGGAGTGAGATACAAACCCTGGAGTTGAGATGAGGAGATTTACACAACAGTGTAACAAATAATAAACCAAACAACAACAATAGAAATAACAATAAGCAGTAATAACAGTAAATAGGATAAAAGATGTACAGAGATATACCATAAGGATAGAGCAGTCCCATCGTGGGTCTTCAGGGACCTTTAGGGACAAAAGCAACACAGAAACTGTTCCCGTGCTTCGGCCCCTGGACCTGAAGTCAGCATGGTATGAATAACTCGGCTGGAGATCCCAGTGCTGGGGAAACTTAACCCTATCCTAGCTGAACCAGGACATAATCCACCCCTTTATTCTATACCATCTGCATCATGCCCAGCTGCCATTTAGCAGTTAACAATAACAAAACAACAATTAACAAGAGCACAATATAATTCACGGTGTGTTTTCATCCAAAATCAAATCCCTTTGTGGTATGCATCAGACCTCTCCATCCTCCTGCATCACCCACCAGGTACACCCAGGTCCTTGGGCAAAAGCAATCCCATGGATGGGTTTGCCTTTACCTTTGCCTGGCACAGGACTAAACCAGACCATTTTTCCCAACACATTCCTCATGCGCACCACAGGGACTTTATCCCCATCTACAGCACGTGGAGGTTTTGACTGAGCCGGGCCAGCTCGACTGGCAGATCCTCTTGTGTTGACTAGCCAGGTGGCCTTTGCTAGATGCATGTCCCAGTCTTTGAAGGTCCCACCCCCCAATGCTTTCAATGTGGTTTTTAACAGTCCATTGTAGCACTCGATCTTCCCAGAGGCTGGTGCATGGTAGGGGATATGGTAGACCCACTCAATGCCGTATTCTGCCCAGGCATTTATGAAGTTGTTTCAGAAGTGGGTCCCATTGTCTGACTCAGTTCTCTCTGGGGTGCCCTGTCACCACAGGACTTGGGTTTCAAGGCCCAGGATGGTGTTCCAGGCAGTGGCGTGGGGCGCTGGGTGAGTTTCCAGCCATCCAGTGGTTACTTCCACCATTGTGAGCACGTGGCTCTTCCTGTGGTGGGTCTGTGGCAGTGTGATGTAGTCGATCTGCCAGGCCTCTCCATATCTATATTTCAGCCATCGCTCCTCGTTGGGAGATAATGGACATGTGAGCAATCCTACACATGTGCACGCCTTGGCAAGGACATAGAACAAAGAACTCAGCAACCAACTCCAGGAGATGGGTTGGGCGGAGAAAGACATTTGAGTGTGGCGCTTATTATCCAGTCGTGAGAAGGCTTGAAGCGCGTGGACAAAGCTAATTGTCCAATCATAAGGATTGTACCATATACTGTTCACATGCACAGGAGAAACCTATAAAAGGGCTTGCTTACCTTCAATAAAGGGGCATTGCTTGATCATACTGGTCGTGTGCGTGTCCATATCTCCTGCAGCTCTCCATTCCGCTGGGGCTTCACCCACTTGGCATGTTTGATTGCAGCACACGTCTCACATCCGTGGATGATCTCTGCAATGGTGTTAATGGTGAGGTCCACCCCTCGATCTCGAGCCCACCTGTATGTTGCATCTCTACCTTGGTGGCCCGAGGTCTCATGGGCCCACCGGGCTATGAACAGTTCACCTTTGCGCTGCCAGTCCAAGTCCACCTGAGCCACTCTAATCTTAGCAGCTTGGTCTGCCTGCTGGTTGTGTCGATGTTCATCAGTGGCCCAACTCTCGGGTACATGGGCATCCACGAGGTGCACCTTCACAATGAGGTTTTTCCACACGGGCTGCAGTGTCCTGCCATACTTCAGCAGCCCAGGCAGTTTTACCCTTACGTTGCCAGTTGCTCTGCTTTCACTGCTGCAACCACTTCCACAGGGTATTCGCCACTGCCCACGAGTCGGTGTAGAGGTAGAGCCTGTCACGTCCCGCTCCAGCGAGGGGGACAAGTGACTCAGATTCGCAAATCCCCAATTGGAGCGGACAACAAGTCTCCAAGTTCAAGCATTTATTAACTACCTACAATGCACTAATTGAACACATGATAATTGGCTATACAGAGCAAGCTGTGGCAAGCAATATAATATGCTTTGCATTTCTTAATAGAAAAAGGAAAAGAGGGAGATAGAGGGAATGGGGGAGTACAGATCACCGGTCTGGATTCCTGCGCCGATCCTGCCGGCGAGGATTCCAGGAGGCAGCTATCTTCTTCGCTGGCATCCGTC